AAAAAAAAAACTCAAAACGTAATGTTGACTTTGAATACCATCAATCAACTCAATCGAATGTAATTCATTAGGATTCATCAGCGGAAACTTCACTTTTAAAGTTCAATGTGCACCTTTCCGATCATTTGTATAATTGTKTTCAAAATGATCTCATTTCAAAAGTTGCTTTCTAATTGCCTCAGAATCGAAGGAGATTTTTAGCAAGTGAAAAAAGCGCAAAGGCTCATGGATCCACGTGCCTTTCAGAAATATAAAAAAGTACGATATCGTGACCGTATTGTTGCCYTTAAAGCAATGTTGATTGCGTGATCACGGCAGGATTTGTTATTAGTAAAGACATCAAATTTTCAAATGGTCAAATAAATATAAGTAAAGACGCTCTCTATATTTKTCCTTTGTACTACACCCTCTTAAAACCGACCGACGCCCTTTTAAAACCGACCGACATGGATTGCSTATGGATAYAATTATATTGGAGTCATTCAATTTTCCCATMTAAGGTSACCGCATTGAATGACGGTTGATATTGGACCTCWACATGATCACACAATACTCACCGTGTTTTGTGAAKTTGTTTTGACTCCTTTGTTAATTTCCAGATGACGGTTTAAAATGCTTAGCAACTTGAAACCTTGGTCAACTGCAAACAATTTGGAAGAAAAAGTTTATWTTATTCATTTATTTATTGTTATTTATTTTTATTTTACTGTAAACTCCTTGCCCCGTGTAAGAGAGTCCGGAGAACTAGAAGACTAGTTCTGGATTCTGAAACATTGAAAGTAGCTGTAGACAATCTTGAGTAACTAAAAAAAGAAAGAAATTCWCTCACTGACCTTGATGTTGTGACATCCATAATAGTGAAAGGAAATAACAATTTAAGGGGATCAAATCTATAGAAAAAAAATTAGAAAAATTAGTCTTTAGGAACTTTTTTATTTTTTCTCGGTAAAATAACTAGCTACWCGTGCGCGCATGCGATATTTTTGAAAGCGGTATTGCATCTCGGAAATCGTTTATTATCATAGGAACCTTCTTCTTATGTCCCAGCTCATTAAAGTCGAATGAATTATCCGTTCCCACTTAAATATATTGGTRGCAATATCTTTAATTAAGTAGGAAAAATGTGTTAAACATGACTTTTTTGTTAAWTTTTTTAACAAACTTGATAAGTTTCTCCTCATTACTGCGAAATTAGCTGTTTCGCCTCATTACTGGAAAGATTAGTTACCAAACTAATTTTACAGTAATTAGGCRAAGMKTTMTCAAGTGCGTTGAGAAATATAAAAAAAGACCATATTTAAGTTGCCTTGAACTTTGTTTTAAGCTTGGGATTCAGTTCTGTGCTATCATTGTAAAATCCGTCAAGTTTGTCGATCTCTAAGTGAAACATATACTTTTTTAGAAGTATAATCCTCCTCATATAGGTTGCATGGAAAACATTTTGTTGGCCATTTTGGATAAAGACWTGTATAAAAAGATAAATTTAACACACAAAAAAATAGGTGAAACAACTTACTAAATTATTTTTACGGTGTTAAATTTATCTTTTTACACAGTTACTTGCCTGTCTGTATTGATTGTGACAGCAAACTCTCCCCCACATTCAAGACGTCATTTAAAACACTTGAGGTAAAAATTTCCTGTTTTCCTTTCGAAATTTGTGGTTTGACAGGAGAATTAAGCACTTCAGCTGCTGTGAAAACATGAGGAGATTTCATATTTTTAACAATTAGTCCAMGTTTAATTTATTTATGTTCTTGCTGATGAAAGACAGCAGGCACACAGAATGCGAAAATAAGGCGGAGAAAATGTGAAAAAAAAACATTTGATACAAATATTACATCATAGATAAATACATGTATAGGCCATATGAAAAACGAGAAGACTAGAAATGAGTAGCTTAAATGGTCAATGTTTTTTAAAATTTGTTTTCATCATAAGAAATTTTATCGACAGAGCAACAAGCGTTTGAAATGTACAAAAAAAACGTGAAAGCGAGCCTGATAAGATCTCAATCAGTATTAATTCACACTCAAAAGTTTGTAATTTCAAACACCTGTAATTTCTGGTCCTTAAATGGTAGACTGAAACTCAGATATAACTCCATTATATGTTCGTTCAATAAGTTGTAATGATATACTATACAACTTGTGTAAAAAGATAAATTTAACACCGCAAAAAAATAGGTGGAACAACTTACTGACGTTTCCGACGTACATTCCTTGTCGGAAATAAAGAAATGAAACTTTTAAATTTTCTTTTTACACAACTGTTTCTTTTTAGAAACACCTACGCAAATAACACTAATTTACCAGACGTTTCAAGTATTATACAAATTATATAAACTAAGGCGTTACGATATAGCTACACTTTTTTCATATGGTCTATATTCAATCATATGTCAGCACCTCGTAATATGTTATCGCTGAGAATTTCTCCGGTTTTTAAGTGACAGTCAACAGCCTTATTAGTATATTGAGAGATGAGGAGGAAGCAGAAATTAAGGCCAACACTTGTTACTAGTGAAAGAGTTTCCAAATGACATGGCAAACCTACAAAACAACACCAGTACAATATTTCACTTATAATTCAAACCATTGTTTATGTATTATGATCAAGTGAATAAACTGTGCGGCACATCTGTCAGAGGCGCATTCTCGTTTCCAGACCTTTCTCAGTTTCCCAACGGGATTTTCTTCTCTTCATGGTCTTCCTGTGTTCATAAACTTGACCCAGAGGAACTGGTGTCGAGAGATTAGGAACAAACGTTTCCTTTCTTACTAACCCCCTCCTTCTCTGGTAGCTTTTGTTCCCCTTAACACAGGAATCCCACTGAATCGAGTTGCCTTTGAAGGAGTCTATGCACAACACTCATATATGTTAAAATCAAAGTGGAAAATCTGGACCCGGCTTCTGATATTCTCATATCCATATCAGTTTCCAATGGAAAATCGAAGACTCTGTTTGGAAACAAATGATTCTTTTATTTGACTGGTTCAAAAATTCCCATGCATCTATGCGACCCAGATTCTTGCTCTTCTGATATTCGTCTCCATCCAGAGCCCTCRATTATCGTTTCCATTGGAGTAGCCTGCAAGGAGGCTTTGTCATGCATTTGAATGCAGATTATAAAACTTGTTTTATTTCTAAGTTAAATATAGACAAATGCAGCTGCCCCCGTTTTTCTACCCCTAAATCTGCCGCTTTCTATTAAAAGCTGATTACTGATTTGTATGAAAGGATGGGAGGGTGAACAAATGGTCTAATAAAGGGATAGATGGGATGAATAGACTATTATTAAAGAGAAATCTATCTAGGAGGATTGAAGTTGAGAGGAATGGAAAATGATGGATAAATGAGATGATGAAATGGAGGGAAAAACAGACAATGGAAAATATCAGAATTCTGCGAATGATGAATTGAGCTGGATAATATTGTACGCCGAGGTTCCCAAGTTTCAATCTTCAAAAAGTCGGATGAGCCTTTTGTATTGCGATACAGTACCTCTAGTTTTTTCCCACAATGCCTGAAACTTTAGCATCAATTGATCTGGTGGTTCATGTGATTTCTCCATCTTGAAACATTAGAAAAGGACGTAAATTATTAGGACTGGCTCCCCAGTGGGGAAACATACATGTACATCAAATCTGAAGGTTTTTGGACAAACATAGAAACATTTTATTAAAATAGGATGTTTGCATTATGACGTAACTTTACTACAACTACCAGAGAGCCTTGCGCATTTTCATTGTTATTCAGATTTTTAATCCCCTTGGAGATTAATAAAACAATTGGCACTCATTGCATTACAAAAGAAAGTTGGCAAAGCATTCTGGTAGTTGTAGTAAATGACGCCATAATGCGTATTGCCTATTCAGATATTTTCATATTTCCGGTAATTTGCAATTGAAAAATGAAAACAANCAATATCAACATGAATAGATAGAAGTCAGTGGACATGTAAAATAGCAGTTTTACACCAAATACAAGTTAGTAGCTCCTATTTCTATTAGCTTTGCTTTCAAGCACTCTATTTGATTGAATAACAAATGTTTTTTTGATATTTCACAGTTCAACTGACTTTATGCACTCTATAAACTGGTACAAGTGCTTTAAAATAACAAACATGAAAAAAAATATATATATATTTTAGGGTGGTCCACGAAAATTGGTCCATGGACCAGTCCATGGATAGGTCCACGATGGCGGTCCATGGACCCCCGGTCCATGTTTTGTACCAACCCAGTTTAACAATCCTACTAACTATGACTTAAGTAAGCTTAAGTGCTTATACAGACAGTACTACTAAACTATGCAATAATTGATATTAATAATTAGTATTTACTTAAGTTAAAAATACTTATCTTAAGTTAAGAATAATTCAATTGTTAATAATAACACTTTCTTTAATCTTTTTCTTTATGATGCCCTTTGCATCGAAGCGTGATGACAGCTGAAGCTAAAAGGATAATCATCTACTAGCTCTCGCAGTCTGCAACTTAAACGGAGCCGTGCAGATTTGCCATCCAGTCCCGACCAACTCGTAATTCACAAACACTAGTCTTATAGATCGCCACAAAAAAAACGCAAGGACATCACATTAAAACTATAGAGTTATTATGTGCTTACCTTTATGTCCATTCTGCTAATCTAAAGCATATTTCATCGCTCTGACGTCTTTCTCCTTCGCTTGTCACTTCTCATTGCACTCGCCATCTTGAAATTCCCGCGAGTGTCCAAATCATTCTACTCTGAGGGGAGGTGTAAGAACAAAACATTTCTTTGAAACTGACCGTTGTAAATTTGTTTGCTAACAAACAATTGAATTTTTTTTTTAATTTCTTATATACTTCATTAAAATGGCTTCTTTTCCTTCTGCGCTGTGAATTTGAGTCAATTTTATATATTCAATAGGTATCAAGGGAGGGTAGCTAGGGGAAAAGGTTTGTATCTGCGCCCGCAATCTCTCTAGCTAGCACACATCCTCTATAGGAATCAAAATGGCGGCTGGAAAAGAACGTGCGGTCATTGAACGCAGTTTAGTTTGCCTTTTGACATCTTTACATGGCTACAAGACAACTATAGAACTAAGAAACGAGGACTACATCGAAGGAACAATAGACCACGTAGATGGATTCATGAATATTACTATTTCAGACGCAAAATTCGTGACAAATTCTGGAGAGGAATTTCACTATTCGAAGATGGTCTTGGTCGGAGAAAAGATTCGTTATGTCCACATTCCTGATGAAATTGATATGAGACAAGCTATCGAACAGAAGCTTACATCCATTGAAAATTCAAGGAATAGGAAAAGCGAACGAAGAAAAGGAGGAAAGAGAAGACAGAACATGTTAAAGTCTTGACAGAGACTGGTGATGGAAAATCGGTAAATCGCTAGTGATCTTCGATAAAGTTCACCTAATGGATCAAGGATAAGAGAACTAAGAAAGTGAGGAGAGACAAGGTACAACATGTTGAAGGCTTGGATTTTCAGAGCTTTCAAAGGAAAATCGGAAAATTGCTAATGATCTTTGATGGAGCTCACAAAATGGATCCTGCCGAATTGTATATCATTTGATCCTTTCTATAACTAAAAAGGGACAAAATAAAATTATGTTCACCTCGACCGTCATGATATAATACCAGTTATTTTTCGTTATGATCACAAGCATCAAATTTTTAAGACTTTTTGACAGTAAACGCGGAACAGTCTAAAACGGCAAATCAAATTGCGAAACGAAATGGATTCGTAATTTACATATTTATTTTGAAAAAATTTAAACTGTGAAACGAAATAATTTCGCAGTTTACAGTCTGTAAACAGCGAAACTGCTTCGCAGTTTACAGTTTTCCGAAATATATCTGTAAATTGCTAAACCATTTCGTTTCGTTTTGCAAGCCGTCTTAAACTCTTCAAAAAACGCCAGGCTCACTGTAAGTGTCACTGCGGATCCCGTTTGACCAAAACGTTAATCCCTGATCCAAAACTTTTTGTTCAAATTTGATCCCTGATAACAAAAAATTCAAGTGTTCCAATGTATTTGTGATCTCGACCCCAAAGCAACAATTCTCTGATCCCAGTTCACCAAAAAATAACGCTGATTCCTGATCCCACATCCCATGTCACGACCCTGCATTTTCATTGAGCAAAATTATATGTTATATAGTTTAAAAACCTAACACTATCTTCAAAAATAGTCCTTGAAAATCGCATTTTTGTGCTTAAAAAGTACTTGAAAAGTCCTGGAATTTTGTAGTGAATTGTAGCACTAACCCTGCGTACCGATCAAGTTTTATTTTTCGATATGAGATATGTTCTTAACTGCTGACGGATTTAAAAGCCAATACAAAATATACGTGCACAAATCAAATACAACTAGATCAAAATTCACTTGGACTTTGGTACTACCGATGAGTGTCAATTACAGAACGGAACTAATAAGATTTCAAAGACAACAGAAACAAAACTCGCTAAAAGCAAAGTAAACAGTTTTTACGTACTCAAAAAGGTTTTACAATATTGACCCAATATTGTATCCACCTGGTAAAATAATGGCTCACGTACATGCATGAAGATAGGGGGAGCTTGAAAGTACACATTAGTGGGGGAGGGGTGTGTGGGTCGTAGAATTGAAACTAAAAGTAAAGTTCATCTCACACGAGCGACTTAACGGCATTAATTAATGAAATTGAAATATTTTCTTATGCCGTTATGTTTGCGGCTTCATGCATGATAGTTTATGAAGTGTATTCCAATGAAGTAAAACAAGTGTTGGGGAAAGCTTCTAATTTCATGCCACGATCCAGTGACTTTGCATTTAATACACCCACATAGTATATATATAGAATAGTATACGTATGGTAACGCAGGCATTAAACTCTCTTTCGCTATACTAACAAGTAATATTGTCAAGCGTCGAAAGCAAAGAATTCTACCCCCAAGTTGGGACAAAAATATCTCACGCCCAAGAAAGCCTTATTATGTATCAGTTTCTATTTTCCCGGGTTTTTGACACGGAACTACGCGGCGGTCCTCCCTGCGACTTGTAAAATAATACTTAAAAAAAAGATAAATAAAAATATTGCAATAAGACATCTTTCATATTTTAATCCTAATGCTATAGCAGCACCCTCCTATTTTTGAATTGTAAACATTAAATAACACGGTATTAGCAGAATGGGACGTACTACTTGGAGTCAGTTAACAAGAAGTACAGACTCGATCTGTGCAATGGCTTTTTGGCTCCTCTATGCAAGTTTTACTGCGATCATTACTGGGGGTACAATGGTGTCTCAGCAGCGAACAACAGGTACCAATGCAAGCATGCTAGGTATGAAAATGTTTTTTTTACGACAAATAATTTTTTTAATGAATTACAAAGATCAAAAACTGAAGTATGCTTTTTCTTTCTGCCTTTTTTTCTTTTCTTTTCTTTTCTTTTCTTTTCTTTTCTTTTCTTTTCATTTCATTTCATTTCTTTTCATTTCTTTTCTGTGTACTTTCTTCATTTCGTACCATTCAGAGATAATATAGGTATGAAAATGCTGTCAACAATACGCTTAGTTTATAAGACAAATATGAATTACAAAGCTCAAAAACTGTAGTATGTTTCTTTCATTTTTTTCCTTTCTCAGTTTTCTGTATCCTTTCTTCCTCAAAGAGAGTATTCTTCATATAAATGGTCTCATTCATTTTAGTGCTAGCAAAAAAGGTCAGGCTATAGGTTGCTAAGCAAAATTGACATAATTATCTTTTTTTGTAATTATCTTTTTTTGTATTTCAATCTGTATGTCATTATTCGAAACGACTTTTTGAGTTTACCTTTTTATTAATCGATCAGTAAAAATTCGATGTCTACAACGTAAACTTAAGTAACTAGTGCCGGTTGAAAACCAAGAAAAAGAAAAAAGAAATAAAAACAATATGGCTATAGCTATATATCTATTAAACCAAAGCTAAATAAACTGGTGAAGCCTCGTTTTTTAATGTCAGAAATGAACTTCAACGAAGAAAACACCTGTCAAAAACACCTTTTTAAGTAAGCACATGGACAGTTTCTCATGCAAGAGAGAATGAACTAAATAACTAAACGTTTGTTTGACGACCGTGCTTGAAGTGCATTACGTCCTTTAAGCCCAATTCGGACTTGGTGCAGGCTTTCCTTTGCAATGCAGTAGAACGCAAATAACTCTGTAACCAAATAAAAAGATACGTTGCTGCAAATTTATTAATTTTTTGGACTGAAGACATAGAGATGTAGAGCCTATAACACTACTACTCTTTCCGATTTTCTGAGTTAGATCTAGAGAAAGAGCTAGAGTAAGTTTAAGAGTTAGAGTTAGAATTAGAGTTAGAGATCTTCCGAAAAACAATCTGATTATAGGGTTAAAATAAAATTAAGACGAGATGATACAGGCATATAGGTTGTTGAAGTTTATATAAGTCACCACTCACCACTTTTGAAGCCGTTTATAACACTCGAGATCGTGTTTTATCAGGTATAAAGATTCGGCTCGTATGCAAATCAGGACAAATTTCTTGCAAAGTTGCGGTCACACGGATATGATTTTCCATTGTTTTTACCTTATAAATCATTAATGAATTTGATAAAAAAAAGTTGGCAGCAGGAAATGCTTGGAGTCAACAGCAGTAAATGTTGCCCTTCAACATGGCTTTTTGGTTTCTCTGCGCAAATTTTACGTCGATAATGAATACTGGAGGCACCATGGTGTCTCGGCAGATAAAGATCAATGGAAGTAGGTTAGGTATGATGGTCAACCGTGAAGCACGAACTTCAAATCAATTTTCCTAAATTATACATCCAGGAAAAAGGATTGCAAGCAATAACGAAAAAAAACTTTCCTTGCACTCACCCGAAATCTTGCAGTAGACTCAAAGGGACATGGTCCACCAGCATCCGTTTCGAGCTTTTTCTCTCGTGTTTGAAAAAAAGCACATCGTATATATAAGTAAAAACCAAGAGAAAATGAGCTAAGTAGCTTATTGTCTCTTGTAAAAACTTACTCTTTATTATCCCTTTATACTATATGAATGGAGATACTTTCAGATTGGACCTTCCGATGGATGGAAACGGATTGCGAGATTGTTCAAGATTGTGTATGACAAAAAAGTCCTTTATTGCATAAATTTATGACAATTTTTAAGAAATTAACAAAAATTAGTCTGTTACGAGTCCTCGTTACCTTCTATACATTACCTGTTGCATATCATCTATAATTGAATACTCAGTACCTACTATAGTAAGGATCGCTGATCCAAGGTTATTGACTACCTGCTTCTGCTAGCTAGCAACACACCTATATCAAAGAAAGCAAAAAAAATGGCTGACCTTTGAAAAGTGGCTTCGCGCTATAAAGTATATTTTTTTCAGACAATTCACGCCGTATGAAAAGCTTTAAAAAGAGGAAATTGCCAAATATAAGTCCACTCGTTTATCTTCCAAATGTCATTTTTTGATATCATAGATAACAGAAAAAAATCCGGAAGCTGCTATTTTTACTTCAATTCATAGAAACAACTGATCTAATATGAGCGATGCAAAGACAATCGCAGACGCAAGCGCAAGAAGTTGCTCTTGAATTGTGCTTCGTTTTCACTAGCAAAATCAACGTACAAGAAAAAGCCTATTGCGGTTACGCTTGCTTTTGCGATTGCTTTTTTCTCGCTAGTTTGTGGTGTGAAGACTCTCGATATCAGTTCCAAACGTACGGCTCCGGCCGTGCGTGCTTAGTTTTGCAAATGTTGTTGAGGCTAATTAAGTTTTAATTCCATTTTAATTAGGGGTCTGAGAAACAATGTTGTTTTTATGTACATCTCACTAAACTGCAATTATTCAATCATAGGTTCTTCTTGTATTGTAAGCCTTCCAGCAGACGACCAGTGTATCAACCAGAGAAATTTCCGGCTCCAAGAAACTAGGAAGACGTTCAAAATCAGCCCTTCTAAGCTCGGAATATACCATGAGCTAAATATGACTGCAAATGCTTTATCGAGCCACTATCAGTCGGATCCGCTGAATGCTTATTGGATGGGATTATATAAGGGGACCATACGTAGAAACATTGCTATCGGTGGCAGCTTCTTGGCAAAGCATGCTGGTCAAGAGTTTAAAGTCGTGGACAACTACACGGATCTCTTTGAAATTTTTGTGAAATCTCAGAAATGGAACATGGCGATGGTAAGAAGTAGATAGATTATTTAGTTATAGGTTCAGTGAAATATCCAGGCGTCCCTTGTATTCGCGAGAGGGTCTTGGGGCGAGCTAGTCAGCGACAACGGCGGCGTTTCGAGAGAGTGACATTACGAAAGATCGAGAAATGGGAAAAGCCTGGATAACGTGGGTAATTTTCTAGTGAAATTTTCAGAAAACCTGAGTCGTGAGTGGAAAATCTGATTAAATTTTCACTTTTATGTTTTTTTCGCTAATTCTAGAATTATAGTACACTTTGGCCACAACACATAAAAACAGGATGGCCGATCGACATCAATTTCTAATTTCTAAAAGAAGTGTGGAGTCTTGGAATGCTCCATTTTCGAATTCAAAGCGAACAAACCGCTGCAGTTAATTGTACTTACAACATTTACTCGGCTTCTTTTGTGCTTGGTAAGGTCTTTGCGTAAGAGAATCTGCTGTCAAATAAAACAGCGGTTAGTCGCTTTGAATTGGAAAGTGGAGTATTTCCCAGCACCATTGTCCACCAAAGCACAGACGTCTCACGATTTTGATTTGATTATCCACAGGAAGACCGCAGATATTTCAAGTTTCCTTTCCAAGATCCTCAAGTACCTTTTCAGAAGATTATCGATATATGCAAATGGAGGGAAGACCAGTACTTTACCGAACAAAGGCTGGCTGGGGTCAACCCTATGTCTATTCAAAGAGTTTCATACTACAAAAGTAAGTGCGTATCCAGGGGGGGGGAGGGGGGTTGACCGTGACCCACCTTTCAAGGCCAAAAAAGGGTGAAAACCATAGATATATACGACATCATATTGACGTCAAATGACGTCACAGTGACATGACAATTTGGTATGTAAGGAGCGCCAATGAAACTCCTGGATACGCCCATGATATTGGATGGTAGCTGAGTACACATAAGCTATTATTAAGATAATATTATAGGTGTTAGGTGTTCTTGAGAAACTAGGTGAAGTTGAGAAAGCCAAAAGAGAGAGAAATAGTCATGTGACTAATGTCGCATAACAGTATTACTACTCCATTTTGYAGCTGACAGCGTTTACACTTTGCTATCGCGCGACTAAAATAGTACGTGTAAACAGTCCTGCGATTGTTGCGGAGATATAAAATCGCCGCAAAGTTGCAGTCAATTTTCAAGCATGTTCGAAACTCAGGCGATGGTCGCGCGACGATCAACGCGAGAATCGCTCTGCAAAAATCGCAAGTGTAAACGGGCCTTAAAAGGTAGCAGCAGGTCAGAAGATGAGACTGCAATAATAGAAACCTTTTGTTCACTAAGACAATTATTCACAGACATCTATCGTTGCAAGCTCAACTACTATATCACTCGGCCAGCAAAGATGGCGCTGCGAGTTGCGATGATAATGAAAAGAGCGGGAAAATACAAAAACCTTGAAGCGTGCGTGCGAGCAGGCGATGTCAGGTTTGCCAGCTCATTAGCGGTCAACCAACCAACATATATTCACTTACTAATCAGTAGAGATATTATTTCTATAGAAAGAGATACATAAACCTATAAAATAATATCAAGCAAAGCAAATAAGCTATGAATTTGCGTCTTTAGATGACCCAGGTGTCACTTGGAGTCAGCTTCAACAAAAGCTAAATACCACATTTCCCTGGACATCGACAATTCGCAAAACAACTGGGAAAACTTATTTGTCTTTTTATGAGGTTAGTAAGAATGAGCTTTGCAAAACCATATATTAAACCCATTATCGGCAAAAATTGAAGGTAGACAAAGTCTTTTTCAACAGTGTAAAAGAGATCACGGAACTCAACTATTTTCCAAATCTAATACCATATGGACCTCGTCAACTAATCCAATACCATGATGCACCTCGTTAAATCAAATACCATGATGCACCTCGTTAAATCCAATACATGTACCATGATGCACCTCGTCAACTAATCCAATACCATGATGCAC